ATTTTAGTGTATATATCCTGTAATTTCAGTAAATAGCATCAAGGCTCGAAATCTGTAGTTATTATCTGTATTGAAAGCTATTCAGCGAAAAAAGCGTCAGCGGTAACCATTATAACTTCTGGACTTTTTATCTGATGTTTGTTTTCTGTTTCCGAAAACTTTTGATCAGTGTTGCTTTAAAAAATTGTATCGTTTCGTCTTAATTAAATTTTCGATGTACGTAGATTGTACCAGGAAATGTTATCATTTGAAAGGTTTCGTAAAATGATAGCCTGATAATTAATATACGTACCACGCGAGTGAGAATCGGAACCTGCTTCCATCTTTTTTTAGAAAAATTAACGATTTCCTTTAAAGTATCGACTGCCTCTTTCATATCGTGAAGGCTGATGATGGTAGCGTTCTTTGATCTTCGTCGATGCAAGATTAATCGAATAAATTCTGTGCTTCGACGGATTCTCACTTTTGATGCTTGCTGTATGTGCACGTTTATGCGTACGTGAACTTAGGTACAGCGTGTCAGGTCGTTATTCGTCGTCGACAACAGGGTGAATCTCGACGCCGCGGCGGCGAGGAAGGGCGCCGGGGAAGCGACTCGGCGAGGCGTGAGGCGATGCGAGCGTAACGAACGCCTGCCTCGTCCTCGACGTCTGCCGGTCGTTTTTCTCCTCTCCTTTTTTGTTTCTACCGTCACCCAGCCGCTCGAGAGGTACTATACTCCTCCGGAGATTTTATTTACGTGGAAATTCCAAGGGCGACGGCCAGCTGCTGGCGACACTGCATCCGCCCTGACACGCCGATGTGCGACGACGCGACAGCGACGAAGACACTCACCCGCGTTACGTTCCGCCTTATAAAACGGTGAATTTCTTCTTCTTTCATTCGCGGATAGTGTTGGGGACCGTTCACCCGAAACTCGCGACAACTCCTTTCCATTTTACTACCGCCCAATTCTCCTGTAACCGTTCGCTCGGTATTCCAATGCATTCCGTTCGTTCTCAACCTGTCGCGTTACCCGGTAACGATATTCGGTCAATTTTTCCGGCAACTCGAATTCCCGAACTCACCGCGGGGTTGAATGTTTTCCGGTAGCTATTCTAGGGAAACTAATAACGCATTGATCGAATCGCGCAAACCTGACACCGATGGAAATTCTTCTTGAAATGAAAACACTTAAACGCGGCTGCTGTCGAAAGCGATTCGAAATTGGAATCTCGTCGTGCATTCGAAGGACCTGGGTTTTACAGGGAAATCTGACCGACGCGATTGTTATAGGATCGAGATTAAATGTTTCAAGAGCGAAATTTTCGTTCCTTTTCTTTCTTTCTCTCTGCACTTTTCTGCAGTATCGCCCTTAGCACCGGGCAAATGAGGTACTTGTCCCGGGTTATTTACTTCCACATTAAATAAAAAAAGAATGTAATTGTAATAAGCGAGACATCTGATTCTTTAACGTATTTATTTTATTGTCATTTTAACGTACTTGAGTGGAGTAATTATTTTTGTCGTAAGTTTAAGTTATAAATCATAGAGACAGAATTGTGGGACGAGCTATAAAATGCAGATCGAAAATTATAAGTCTTTAAAGCTCTTAAAAATCGGTAATAACAAAAAATAGAAACAAAATTAACTTAAAAAAACATGTAAGATACAAGCCTTTTATTACAATTACTTGTTTTTAATTACGTATTTTTAATAATATGTATACTAGTTCAAAAGAAATTTTTTTTTTAATTCGATGTAAAATACACGGTCTTGTACAGTATTTGATAGCAAATGAAGCAGGCTCAATGGTTAAGCCATTCCATAGTCAAACAAACCTCCAGTTGTTTATGCGGATCTTTCTGACGAGTAGGTATTTGCATATTCAAATTAGGCAAATAGTCTTTGTACTAAGTTCATTTGACTAAGAATAAGATGTAGTTTGCTTAAAGCGTAATACCTATTCCTCTTTTCCATTCAACATTGAATTGCAATAGTCTGGTGGTAGATAAATTGCAGCTGAATTAACAGAAACTTGATACAGTGATCCTCATTAACATGTAAAAACGGAATAACTTTTTTATTCTGGCTAATAGCAGTTTTTTTAATGTTATTCTATACATTACCTAAGAAACTAAGTTTTCAAACGTCTAAACAAAGACTTAGTTAATGGGTCCAATATTAACGAGGTTATTCTACTGCCCCCATAAAAACGAATGAAATCAGATCACTGTGAATAAAATCTAGATAAAAGAGGGTGAAAAAGAATCAGATTCGACGTTGCCCTTGTCGTTTTTGACTTTGCCTGGTGGCCGTGACGAATCAGCCCCCGAAAAAATTCCGGTTCGGACTAACGGAACGAGTCTAGGATAGAAATTTCTTTCGTTAAACCGAAAGCAGGAAGTAAAGTTTTAATTAACGGCCACACGTCCGGGCCAGAACTTTATAGCCGCGAGGGAGTAGTTGGCAATCCTGAAAGCGTCGGGTCGACCTCGCAGCTGCCACGGATTTGCATTCAGATTGCATTTTTTTTTCTCTTTTGCGTTTTTTTCTTCCCCCATTCTTTTTTTTTAAAGAGGTAATTACACAGAGCTCTAGACAGGGAAAGCCTAGGCTACGTCTCATCTGCATCCTGCCCCTACGCTGCCGGGTTTAAAACATCCTTCGTCAGGACTCGCCTGGATTTTTTCGCTCCTTCCTTCCTCCAAGGTACGACCGACGCATCCCTTAATGATTTTTTAATTGCTTCTGCTATTATTCGGTACGCGTCGTGCACAATCAACGCTCGTCTGCCTCGGGTTCTTTACTCACTATAAATCGCGTCGTTTGTTTTGATTTTGTCCGTTATCAATCATTTTTCATTGTCACGGAAAAGAAAATCATGGCTCATTTATGTAACAGAGGAAGTGGACAATTTTTCAGAGTGTGTGACACGTCTGATAAATTACATTTCTAATGTTCACAAATATTACTGTACATTTCTCTCATCTTCCCAGATATCATAAAATTGAGATATGTAAATTACTGAAAATCGTCTTACCTGCCCTGACCTGTACATCACGACTGAGCACCCTGCCCACGGAATTGCTTGCCACGCATCTGTAGGCCGCGCTGTGCACATCCTGCCGGAACGCGGCGGCCGGAAACGGTAAAAGGACCAACGTGCCGTTCCTGAGCACCCTCCGCACGCCTGTTATGTCGTTAACCGGATGTCCGTCCGCGGTCGACCAATCGATGTTCGGCGGCGGGCTTCCGGTCGCGGTACAGTCCAGCCAGGCGCCGCTCGAATTCGAAAATTCCACCCTTGACGGTGGTTCCATCACGAAGCTTGGCCCGCGTAGATGCGCGTCGAACCCATGACCACCCGCCGACGTCACTACCGTCGCCGCACCTGCGAACAAAAAACGGTAGGGGAACGTTCATTCACTGCCGTCCGGAGGATTCGCATAAATCTGTCGCCCGATTGCGGAAAAACATCGCGCCGCGCCGCCGCCGCACCACCCCGCGTCGTTTACCCACCTGGCATCGTAGCCCCGTTCCGCATGCGACAGTTTAATTGCGACGTAAATCCTGTCCTTCCTCGATTTTTGCATATTTCTACCGAGCCCGCGGTCGCTGGTAATAAAACGCTTCCAGCTCGATCGTGCAATTTATTAGGCTTTCTCGCTGATCTCAAAGCGAATTAGGAATTTCGTTTCGATACCTCGTTTTATCGGTCTAATCATAGATTGCATAGGGGAGCAGTTAATCGATTCACGGAGTTGATTAAACGGGTTCAATTATCACGATTGCTCGGACGAACCGCGGACGCTGCGTAACGGACATGTTATTCTATGCAGAGTATATCAGACGCGCGCGATGCTTCGACATAATGCTTTGACCGAAGGTGCGAAGACACTTGTCCGGAACTCTTACATCGTTGGAAGCCACATTAGGCTAATAGAGACGCAATTGTGTAATACATATATAG